ACGGACGACCAAGTATGTATATGTGTCTGCATACATCGATGTTTGCGTTAGTACGATGAATGACAAAACGACGAAATTTCCCCCACCACTTCCACAATAACACCAATACACGCAATCTACATAAACCCAAATTTTTTAAAACATTAATCAGTTTGTCTGACGATCGCTAAAGCGTGAAACCCAGGGTCACAAACTCACATCTATCCAACCAAATATATATATTTTTTATATATATAAGGCCTTATATTGCTCCACAATTTATGAAGGGACGAATACAGAAACCTGTCGTTTTTTGAATTGAATTATATTCATGCCAATTAGCTTTATCAAACAACCCTCCGCAGGTTTTTTTTCAAAATTGTCCTTTTTTTAAATTTAATCAAATTGCCATCCAATTTTCAATATAAAATCAAAATAATCCTGATATTTGGTTGTGCTGGAATTTCCAATAATCAATAATTAATTTCCCATTTTTATTTCAAATGTGTATATTTGGGAATTAAACTCGGCTCTGTGATTCCTATAATTTACATTATCCACTGCTCCACCGTATAAATATATTTAAGAGAGGTGGTGAATGTTTTTTAATTTTTTTTAAAAAATTAAAGCAAGACATATTAATACCACTTGTCTTAAACGCTTTTACTATGAGGAATTTAAAAAATTTCCCTATGTAATTTTTTTAATCATGTTAGAGGAATCAAGATGGCATTGAATATATCGTAGATGAAATTGTTTTTAATCAAATTTCGACAAAAAGAAAGCCCGAAGAAATCTGGAAGCGAACATTGAGAGTGAAATAGAAGTGTTTTAAGGAAGATTGTATATAATGATTGAAATTGCATTTAAAAATTTTGAGATTTACAGCACTTGAAAAACAAAGAGAAAACAAATGAAAATTGAGCGAGAACAATCCAAGTGTATATTTTTATGGAGATGACGAAAATTGCATTTAAATGTTTGAAGTGATCAAGGTTGACTGGAAATTCATTTTGGGAAGAGATTTTTTCATGCGAACATTTATTTAAAACAATTGAAGAGTAATTTTAAGACAGTAGATAAACTTTGTTGACATTATGTTTATGTTTTTTACAAAATTGATTTGAGAAAAATAGAAAGCAAAAGAAAGTTCATAATTAAAAAATTGATGGAACAAAATTGAGTGTAATTTGAAGACAGTAGATAACGATTGACATTGGTTTTAATGTCTGTCAAGATCAAAGAACCTTTTATATTCAAAGCAAGAAGGCAAAAGACAGTTCCACAATGGAAAATTGAACGAACAAATTACAAGTGTATTATGGAAGATGAGACATTCAAAACTTTGAAGATCAAATTTGACTGGCAAACAAGAAGTCAAGGAAATATCTCCTTAAGCTGATCTATTTATATTTCTATAGAAATTTATTTTATTATATATATATACAAAGAATATTAATCTGATCCATTTCAACGTAAAATACAAAACCTTACTGTATTTTTTATTTACACAGAAAATGCCGAGAAAACAAACCTATTCCATTTATGCCTTTATAACTAATGATATTGTATTTCAATGGAGATCTAATTGAAATCATAAAGTCTGAATTTAATTTAAAAAAATTACAGAATTCATTAGAAATTTTTAGAGAACAAAACGTGCTGTTGTGCCATTTGATTCATAAACCCTTAATAAATTTGCCATTCCTTTTAAAGGAAAAACTATGTAAAATTGAAATTACCCATTCATTTTATATTAAACAGAGATTATAATATTTGTCCAGAGGCATAATATATATTGAATATAAAATAACTGCTTTTACACATAGTCCCCAAAACTTATTAATTTTTGACAAAATTTTTATAATCCACACATTCAATCCAAGTACGCACTTTACATAATATAAAATTTTACCATAAACTATATATTCACATGAAGACTGTAAACGCACCAACACCTATTGTATATATATATATATATATATATTTATATATATATATATATAAAATCATCTATATCATTTGTGTCAAACACACTTTATTGAAATCATCACACAATAAATTTTTTATATTCATTTTACTTTTTATATATACAAATACGAAAATAATACAAATCTATACACAAATTTTATATAAACTACCAATATTATACATCCAAACACACATTTCGCACATAAAAGTGACATGTACAAATTTATTACATATTTAATTTCACAACAAATAGAAACAATATAAAATATTTTTTATATTTAAAATTCACATTCAGTGGCCTGAACCTAAAATATTCTAAACACTGATATATTTTTGCACACAGTTCCATTCAAAATGTTTTAAATAAAAGATAAACATCTTCATAAAAAAGATGTAAACTGTAACAAATCATATACATAAAACACCACCAACAAACAAATCTCCTGACATACATATTTCGATATTTTAAAATATGAATAAACGTTTCTAATTTGTGCATTCAAACAACGAAAGGTAAGTTGCGGTATGAAATCCAATAAAAAAGAACATGGTGACATAATAATCGATTCCTGTTCACTTAGTATTCCATTTTTATTTTTAAGATATTCCATAATGCAAGTTCAAATTTATTTTTATTTTGTTTAAAATTTTTTTCAATAGATGCCAATAATCCATATTTTTAAACAAAAATATTATATATATATATATATATATAAATATATATATATATATATATATATATGATATATACAAAGATTAATTTTGTCATCATTCTGGTTTTAGTTGTTAAAATGATAATATTTTCCAGTTTTCGGTTAAATAAATTTTTCAAACTTTTCTCAGTACCATTTTTAAAGTTTTGTTTAATTGTTTTTTAGTTTTAGTGAGTTTTCTTCTTTTTTAAACAGGCTTTATTTTTTTTTTTTGTCAGTGAAATTTATTTTATTGATTTGTATATTAGTTTTTATACTTTTTTAATTAAAAATATAAAGAATTATAGTATATATATATTTTTTTTAAATAAAAATATAATATAATTATAGCCTGTTATTTTGCAAGGTTTGGAAAATTAACGCTTCTGGAATTTCAAAAACATTAAAATAAATCTTAAACAGTGAAAAAAAAATTAATATTTAAAGGACCTTAAATAATTCAATTTTTAAATAAAAGTCATTAAAACGATTGGGAAATTTTGAAAAATACCGACAATTAGTCCTAAGATTTTTTTTTGGAACTTTTACTGACATTAATATAAATATAAGAATTGAAAATTATATATATATATATATAATATATATATATATATGTTATAATTATGAATAAGAAACTAAAACTAAATGAATCTATTTTTTAGCATGAAACAAATCTATTTAATTGTGTTAAATATATAATTTTATATTTATATACCATTTATCTATGATATTGAAAATCCTTTATATGAAAAATTTATATAAAAAAAATAAATGAAATATATATATATATATATATATATATATAATATATATATATAGTATATAATATAATAATAAATTAATTGATTTAAAATGCAGAAAAAAAGAAAAACAAAAGAACCACGTTTCAAAAAAAAAAACGCTTTAAGCCCCGAAGAAGAAAATGATGAAATGGAACTAATGTCTTTTTAATCCCAAAAAATTAAATTCACAGAAAACATTTTTTGAAAAATTGAAACATGGTTAGAATTATGGGTCAAAAAATAAAAAAAAAACTAGTTTGTTTGCAGGATTTAATGTTTGAAGCAATTTTTTGAAAAATGAGCTGTTTAAGTTCAGAAAATAAAAAAATTATTAGCAAAATTATATATCTTAATGAATTTTTTTATTTAACATATATATATATAATATATATATATATATATATATATATATATATTAAAAAATAACAAATTGTTGTTAAAAAATGCATCGTAAATATAAAAGATAAAAAAGAAAAAATGATCCACGAAAAGAAAAACATAGTTTGAAATAAACAGAGAAAATAAATTACAGGTTCATAAAGAAAGAAAAATTACCTCATGTTATAGTTTATTTTCGTTTAAAGCCGAATAAAAAAAGAAAGAAAGTTTGTTGACGGATGGACTGTGTTCGTTTTAAATATTATTAAAAAAAAAAATCAAAATTCATGGTGAAAAATTGTTGAAAACTCATTGCATTATGGTGGCGAAGCCTCGGCAGGACAGATGCCAAGTAGTGGTCATGGACCTGTTTAAAGAGAAAAGCAGGTAAAAAATTCAACCCAGATAATAAACTTAAACCCCAGCCTTAAAGGGTTATAAGAAAAGAAAAACTAAAGAAGAACGAAAAAAGAATTTATTTAACGAAATTTTAATTATTAATTATAAAAATATTTTCTAAAAAAAAAATACTAAAAATATGACAAATGAAGATATAAAATAAGATCAACAAGAAATCGTATTAGATTAAATTAAAAATATAAATAACATAAACTTATTGGGGACTAACCTTCCCAGGTTCAAAATGTTCAAGTTGGGTAAAGAAAAAATGAAGAAAATTTAAATTTGTGTTCTACTACTATTACTAAAAAAAAAAAAGAAAAATTTCCAAACTACACTCATGGATACTACTACTATTACTACTAACTACTAATAATAATAATAATGATAAGAAGAAGAAGAAGAAAAGAAAGATGAGAAAATGCTAATAAACGAAAAGAACTAAATAGTGAAAAAAAAAATTTCATCAGAAAAAGAAGAAATGTTTTAAGAAGAAAAGAAGAAAAATAATATGAAGAAAAAAGAAAAAGAAAAGTGGATTGAAAAAGAAGAAAAAAAGAAAAAGAAGAACAAAAAGAATGAAGAAGAAGAAAATGATGATAAAAGAAAAAAGAAAGAAGAAGAAGAAGGAAGAAGAAGAAAAGTTTTGAAGGGATTTGAAGAAAAAGAAAAGAAGAATAAGAAGAAGAAGAAGAAGAATAAAAAAAAGAAAAATGTTAGAAAAGAAAGAAGAAAAAGTAAAAAAATGAATGAAAAGAAAGAAAAAAAAGAAAAAAATTGAAGATTTTATAAGAAAGAATTAGAGAAAAAAGAAAAGAAAAAGATGAAGAGAATGAATAAGGTGAATTTGAAAAAGAAGAAGAAAGAAGAAGAATAAGAAAGGAAATTTTAAGAAGAAGAAGAAGAAGAAGAAGAAATGATTTTGGATTTGAAAATAAATAAAAGAAGAAAAGTCAAGAAGAAGGAAAATAGTTTGAAAATTGATTTGAAAGAAGAAAGAAATAAAGAAATAGTTTTGGAAGAAGAAAAGAAAAAAGAAGAATTTGGAATGATGGCGAACAAGAAAATTATGTAAAGAAGAAAAAGAAAAAAATGACGTCGAAAATAAGAATATTGTGATGAGGAAAAAGAAGAAATGGAAGAAAAAAATAAAATAATATTTAATGAAAAAAAAATAGGAAAAATTGTGATAAAGAGAAAGTAAAACCTGTAAAGAAAGAGAGAAAAAACGAAAAATGATTCAAATGAATGTGATGAAGAGATAGAAGAAAAGAAGAAACGGGGATGGTGAGAAAGAAAACAAAGATAGAAGAAGAAGGTATGACCAGAAATAATATATATATATATATATATATATATATATATATATAGAGAGAGAGAGAGAGAGAGAGAGAGAGAGAGAGAGAGAAGGAGCTGGGATGATGAGAAAAAACAGAGAGATAGAAGAAGAAGAAGAAGAAGAAGGTATGACAAGAAATAAAATATATATACATATATATAAATACCCTGCCGAGAGAGAGAGAGAAGCAGCTGGGATGAGGAGAAAGAAAACAAAGAGATAGAAGACGAAGAAGAATATATGACCAGAAATAATATAGATAGATAGATAGATAGATAGATAGATAGATATACATATATATATATATAGAGAGAGAGACAGACAGACAGACAGAGAGAGATGGAGCTGTGATGAGGAGAAAGAAAACAAAGAGATAGAAGAAGCTGGGATGATGAGTGAGAAAAATATAAAGAAAGAAGAAGAAATTGGGAAGACGAGAAAGATAAATATAAAGAAAGGAGAAGAAGAAACTGGGATTACGAGAAGAAGAAGAAGAATCTGAAATGATGAGAAAATATAAAGAAAAAAAGAAGAAATTGGGGAGACGAGAAAGAAAAGTGACAAAAAGAAAACAGAAACAAAGAGCGATGAAAATCATGAATGAGTTGTAGACAGAAAGAAAAAAAAGCAAAACTGACGAAAGGAAAGAAGTCAAACGACGAAAAGAAAGGAATTAAGTGTAAAGAAGAAGAAAAAGGAATAAATGGCGGCAACAAAGAGTTATAAAAAGAATGAACGAGTTGAAAAAGAAGACGAAAAGAGGGGAAAGATTTATGAAGAGAAAGATATAAAGAAGTAAGAAAAAAAAATATGTCCGCATCTTACCAATATTTAACATTAGCAAACAGCTGCATCTTACGGAATGTTTGTTCGTACACAAGCCATGTGGGTGTAACCATTCGGTGACGGTCATGGCTGAGGGAATTTTGTCTCCCCCATACTTGACGCTTTTTATAAATGGCGCTCGCTTGTCGAATAAAGAGAGAAAGCAAAACTTCCGGAACGCTCTTCAATCTCCACAGACCCCCCACCCCCACCTAAAGTCACTTCCGGTAATTTTTATATCCAGGCAATTACGCTGTATTTTTGTTGTAGGAAATCTGTTTCAGCCATTGCAATGTGGCTTAAAATACAAGTGCAACCACCTTCTTTTTCATTCATACATTTTCTGTTATTGTTTTTTGTTTTTGTTTTGGTTTCTTTATTATTATTATTATTATTATTATTGTTTGTTATTTTTCCGCTTTCTTCTCTTTGTCCTGTTCTCATTTTGACACGAGCTTGTTCAAAATCCAAATCTCTTTCGTATTACCAACAAAAATGAATAGCATATGTAACACGAAGAGAAAATAATGATAATCAAGATATTGACTATTTACACTATTTATTTTCGGTCTATTCTCCTCATTTTTGTTGTTGTCATCGCCTTTCCTTGGGTGCAGATCGATCTGGGTAACTTACAGAGAATTCCGAAATGAAGCCTTTATTTAATCAATGTAGATAGACTGTTCTCGTTCCACTGCTCATATCAAGCAATATCACCCTGTTCTTATTTTTCTTCACTTAATTTAGTACTGCTCAGCCGCTTCTACTGAGTAGAAATACACAATTCCCAACTCAGGGTTTGAACACAAAACCATTCTATCACCAAATCCCAAAACCAATGCTTTTATCCACTAGGCAAGCGTCCTACGTTCATGCTCCTGAAGAATAACGAAGGGCATAACGACCGAAACGTTGTGATAGCAACAACAAAGATGAGGATATTATTTCGAATATAAATAGTGTAAATTATGATATCTGTTCATACGAGAAGTTCAGTCAAGATTTTGGTATTCTACTCTACTTCAAATAAAAAAGTTAGGAAGGAAACCAGTATCACTTGTGGAAAGAAAAAAGTTTTTTATAAATTTCAAACGAGAGTGATTCTGGCTGCTCGTTCATTGTATGTCGAATGTTTCCTTGTAAGGAAACGGCTAATATTACTATTATCATTATCTGTCAAGTACACATGGCACAGTGGATAAAGACGTTAGTTAGATCCAATGACAGGACCCAAAAACTGTGAGTTCAATACCCTGTTAAGGCAGTGGAGAACTTTCAGAGGGAATTAACAGGAGATAAATGGTAACTGACATCCATTAAACATGGCGCGTGGAACTAGAACAGTCTACCCCAATGAGCGAAATAAAGCGTTCAGTTCGACATTCCTACCACCTGAAGAAGGCCGGAGCGTACAACGGCCGAAACGTTATAATAAATATGGCTACAAAGATGAGGACAATAGTCCGAATAATGTAAATAGTGTACCATTATCATTGTTCGAACATTTGTGTAAGTGTTTTCTTTCTTCCTTTTTTTCTTCTTTCTTTCTTTTTCTTGCCTTTCTTGTCTTTCTTTCTTTCTTTCAGTCACAGATGTATTTATTTATTAATTCATTTATTCCCTTTCTTTTACAGCTTTCTTTCTTTCTTCCTAGGCTTTCTTTCTTTTCTTCTTTTCCCAGTTTTTATTTTCATGTCTTTCTTTCTTTCACAGATTTTTTTCATTTCTTTCCATGATTCCTTTACATTTTTTTTGCCTTTCTTTTTTTTATTTCTTTCTTTCTTTTCCATTTCTTTATTTCATTTCTTTCTTTCCCAAAACCTTCTTTCTTTCTTCCCTTTCTTTCTTTTTTCTTTGTTTCTGTCTTGCCTTTTTTCTTTCATTCTTTCTTTCTTTCTTTCTTTCTTTCTTTCTTTCTTTTTTCTTTTTTATGCTCTTTCATAGTTTTTTCTTTCATGACTCTAACATGTGGTTTTTCTTAAATGGTTTTAATTCTTTCACAGTTTTATCTATTTCTTTCTCTCTTGCCTTTTTTTTTATTTTCTTTCTTTCTAGTCTTTGTTTCTTCCTTTCACATAACTTTCTTTCATTCTTTCTTTCTGTCTATCTTTCTTTCTTTCTTTTCTTTCTTTCTTGCCATATATATATATATATATATATATATATATATATATATATATATTCAAAAGAGAGAGAGAGAGAGACAGAGACAGAGACAGACCACAAACAGGTTCTTTTTTGTTAACATACACCCTCCTTGACGAAATCAAAATGCAAGGATCTTGAAGGAGACATCTAAAAAAAGTTTGGCACATGAAGACATCGAAAATTGCTGTTGAGTTTGGAACCCTCGGTTTGATTGGGAATAGAGTGTGATGGATACCCTGATGTCCCAGTACATTTTTCACATAACAATTGATCTTCTATCTATATATGTATCTATATATCCCAGTCTATTTCTATCTATCTATCTATCTATCTATCTATCTATCTATCTATCTATCTATCTATCTATCTATTTCAATCTGTTCATTATTAATCTGTTTTCTATCTCATTTTATTCATTATGTATTTACCTATCTATTTTTCTATCTATATTTATTTATATCTATCTATCTATCTATCTCTCTCTCTCTATATATATATATATATATATATATATATATATATATATATATAAACAATCATTCCTGAAACTCAGAATAGTGTTATCGACGATGGATATTATGTATATATGATACATACACACACACACACACACACAGTATATATATATATTATATATATATATATATATATATATATATATATATACATGTAAAACACGTGGTTAAGTAATCAATTAGATCCTGTTAATATAAAATATTAAAACTGATCCAGAAAAGAGATTTCCATTCATTTTTTATAGAACTTATAAGGGAATTACAAAGACTGAAACCCCAATATGACCCTATTCAGATGGCCATTTCGTCATTGCGAAAAACTACCTAAGACTTGTCAATGCAAATACATTTGTTAAAGAAAACAAAATGAAATGGCCATCTGAATGGGGTAATTTCTACATATATATATATATATATATATATATATATATATATATATATATTAGGAAACAGATAGATAGATAGATAGATAGATAGGAATTGATTCATATACCTGACGATTGCGTCTAGCATGAAACAGCCTGTCGCCTCTAGTTTACTTTTTTGTTCACTTTTATATTTATATTTACATACGCTCTATGATATTGAACACTTTATTCCATAAATATTGCACACCTAAATGTGTATTTTTTTTATATATATATATATATATATATATATATATATATATATATATATATATATATCAAAATGAAAAGTAAAAAACGTTTCTGGTTATAATGTGTTTTTTTTTAATTATATATTATACATTATTTTCTTATATTTTTTGCTACGAGTTTCCGAGATACATCTATTTCATCAGGCAAAAAGTGGCCATTTCCATATATTGTTAAAGGAATTAATTTTCCTTATTTTTCGATGATTTCTGAAGTAGCAATCGTAATATTTCTTTTTATATGCCAGTTAGTTCATTATCTGTCTATTTATATATTATACATACATGCAGGGTGCGATGGGTAAATTGCCGTCATTTTATATTTTTAAAATTCGCGCATACGCGTTGTTTGTTTTTTGATTTTGTCGACTGCACTTTATAGTAGGGTCAGTTGGGCACCGTCTGTGCGAAAAGAGCATCATTTACTTCGCCAGAAATTTGGAAACGGCATTCTGTACTGCTAGGAATTTGCGCCAGAACTATAATACGAAAATTTTTTTTTTATAATTCTATCTGGGGTCAGTGCAGAGGATTCTGAAAGAGTTGGATTCGCCTAATGGTGATTAAGAAGGTATTTGGGACGTTCACTAGTAATGCTTTCATTCACCTTCCCGCAAGATCTCTGACTCAATACGGAGCCCTCCATCATGTGCCTTTAGCGGGTAGTTTTAGGTTAAGAGGGTGGCTGCTGAAAGACACTATGTCTGGCAACAGGACTCTGCACCATAACACCCAAGCAGGATAACCCAATCATGACTCTCAGGCAATTTCTGCGACCACATCACTCCTTATATCTGGTCACCTAACTCCCCAGACAGAAATGCACTTGACTGTTATGCGATGAGAGAACTGAAATAAAATCCATTGTGAACAGCAAAGGTGACCTTTTTAATTAATTTTTTATTTTTCAAAATTAAACAGAAGAGTTTAAAATTAACAAGTCGGCTGGAGGCACCTTGAAGCCAATGTCGATTTTAGTGAAAAAATTTACTCTTTAGTACCTCAAGATATTTTTCTTCAATTTTGGTTAGTATATCTTCTAAAGTGGAATGTCAGTTTTATTTTAATTTTTGCCGAATTTAGATGATACTTTATCTATCGCACCCACCAATTTATATATATTCATACATCATACATAATACATATATATATATATATATATATATATATATATATTCGTATATATATTCTGTCTTTAAAAAATGTTAAAAATCGAAATCTTCAGACATACTGGGTTGTATATTAATATTCCTTTCGTTTTATTATTATTATTTAATTTAGATTCTTCGACTAGCTTTGGCTAACATGGCCATCATCAGGAGAAAAATTATTTTCTGTTCGCTGGTAGCAGTGAACTACAGAAATGAATGTCCTGATGGAGAAAATGAACTGTAAAAAATGTCTGTAGTTTTCACTTGTTTTTTTTTTTTTAATAATTTTTTTTGTGTTTTATATATATATATATATATATATATATATAAATATATATAATTAAATATACATATTATCCCACGTCGTTCGCATATGTATATTAATATATACATATATTTTATAGCTCTGTTATATAACATGGAAACTGTTTCAATAACACCAACACTTTATGTACCTTCCTCATATATTTATACATTCATATTATATATATATATATATATATATATATATATATATATATATATATATATATATATATATTTTAATGTAAATGTATATATATGTATATATATATATATAGTCTAAATATATTATCTTTCTTTCT